GACCAGGGTTAAGCTCTGATACCAAATTGTCACATCCCGGGCCTGTTCCATCACCGTAGCACGATATTGTCCGCTTTGGGCTTACCATTCCTTCACGGTTTTGTTTTTGGGAACTCACGAGCAACTTCCCAGTGGGTCACCCATCATGGGATTGCTCTAACCTCCTTCTCGCTTAACTTCAGAGTTCCTACCGAACCCAAAGCCAGTGAGCTCCCAAAAAGCCTCGTGCTAGGTAGGGATGGGAATATACATATAAGGATCACTCCCCTTAGGCGATGTGGGATGTTACATTGGGAGTGGTGAATTGGTCTAATTCATGAGAAATCCAGTGGAAAACCATCATAAAATATGGTGAAAATGGGTCGAGGTTGCGGGTCAGGGGATCCCGCTGATCCCTTGTTCTTTTTTCCTCTCTCATTTCCCTCATTTTTCCTCCTCCTAATTGGTCCCCTCACCTTCCCTTAAAATCTGGTTGGCTTCCTTCCCACCAAAATGGGAGCTCCAATTATTTAACTAACTTTAAATAAAAATTTTCAAACGTATATGACTATATCGTTAGAATTCGGACTCGCAAACGGTTTTCGCCTATGCGTTCGTATCAACTAGTACTGCACAACTACGCTGAAAGAATAAGTCATACATTCCTCTAGACAATGGTCAATAGAAGTCAAAATCCTTGCCTCTAGGGCATTTTCGTCAATTCCCTCAATAAAAACGTAATTTTTTGGGTTGGGTTGTTACAGATTTAGGATAATTTTAATAACTTTTAGGGAAATATTTGACACATCCCGACCTAAATCGAGGTATGTTGGCCATCACGTGAGGGTGATGTAGCCATGTGCGCAGTGCGGAAGTGATAGTGATAGAAAAATATGGATAAATAAAAGCCAACTAGCTAATTTACACTAGACTAGCATATTTGCGAGTGAAAGTGCTTAAAGTGTAAATACACACATAACCAGAGCGTAGGTATCAGAATGCAGTCCAAAAGTCTAATTACTAATTATACAGATCATAAAGAAACCCTACACTGGTGGATGTCTATCAGAACCGCCGTGAAGTCCTCGTGAGCAACTAACACGAACTTCTATCTAGAATGTGGAGGGGCGCAAAATAGAAAATGTGAATGGGCAAAAACAAAACTTTTAAAAACCATTTCTCTTTCCAAAAATATAATAACCCATCACCGTAAAACCTGTAATATTTCCTAGAAATAGTATCATATAAGTATATAACCCTACTCAAAAGTCACAAGAATCAGATATATGCCATGTCAATCATCTCAACCATAAATAAGTAAGCCAGGTGGAATGAATCAGTATAAAATAAATATATCAGCCGGAGTCACCTAACGTGACCTGTACGGTTGAGTCCATAACTCATCAATCAAGTCCTGCACACAAGTTAGAACCACCAAATGTGGTCTGTACGACAGGCTTGGTGTAAATGAATACGCTCAAGTGCTATGATCATGTGAAGGTTGTGCGAAGTATCGCAAGTCACGTACAAGTCAGAACCACCTAATGTGGTCTGTACGACAAGCTGGCACCTGCCTTGGATCCAAGGTGAGCGTGTGGTGCGGGAGGTGAACGATCATGTGAAGGCTAGGCCCTGCCCTCAGGCGGAGCACTAACACTGAGGTGCAGGATAATAAGCACTAAATGCATTTAAACATAACCATACACACTGCAATCACTAACATCAATATGTACTCACCTGAAGCTTACCTAGGCGTCTGCAGCATCATGCAATAATATGCATATCTATACTAATGCATATACTAAAATGTAATGCAATTGACATGGCATTTAAAAACGTAAATCCATTTAAAACAATTTATGGGAAACGTATATATACATATATATAGAAAACCAAAAGTCCACTCACTTGTATGTAGCTGGGTCGTCACCTCTAAGTCTTGCCTGGCTGCGCTCGTCATCCAGAAACGTCTCACCTGACGCCGTTAAGAATATTCTGTCAAAGTTGATGGAATATGCTCCGTCTTCTCTGGTGATTCGCTGGAATCCTTCATCGACCGCTTTTGCACTCGCTGGTTTCTTTCAAAGGTTCTAAAATCAACGGAATATGGTCGGAAAATATTTCGACCATACGTCTAAACCTTCTTAGGTCTCAAAACTAACTAAAACCTTCGTGATCGCGTCAGAGAATTTCACACTCCTCACCGAAGCTAGGGTATCTCGAGTTCCATAAATCCTCTCCCTTAACCAGGGGTACATCTCGACTTGTGAAGTCGAGGGCAGCACGATAGTGTTATCCTTACACTTGATCTATGAGTGTGTGATGATGTTTGAAGGTTAGAGGGTTTGGTTGTACAGACGTGAAGAGAGTTCAAGAAAGGAAGAAAGAAACGGGAAGAAAGGCACATGTGTGTGTGTGGCTCATGGAATTGGGCAATTTTAAATTGCCTCAAATCCTATTGGGCTGCAAGTTTAGGCTAACCATTTGGTCCAAAAACAACAATACAATTTTAATTTGACCCAAGAAAGTAGGAGGTGAAGTAATTGGTCTATTTCCTTAGCTCACTTATATATCCACCACACATCGTTTCAAGGGCAAAATCGTCATTTCCACACTTTCCAAGATAAAATATATTTTAATTCGAGACAGATTGTCACAATATTAGCTTTCTGAAACTCGATAACAATCCAAGTTAATGGATTCTCGGTTTAGTGAACAATTTTTTTTTTCTTTGTGATTGAATGTTACATGATGTGCCCATGGCAGTCTGGTTAAACCGTAAAATTGGTAGTGCTGAAATGAAAGGATATTATGTTGATGACCATTGAACTTGCCTTACGTGTGCGTAATTGATCTGATTTTTTTACCATGATTTAATGGTTAAATTAAAGTTAAAACGATTTTAATGTAAACAAGGCGATTGGTATAGCCCATTTTAACTAACCCTTCTAATTTTTTTGATGTTCATCTTTGCAATTCTATTTTAGCAATGATTGAGATCCTTTAAGCAAAGCTAAACCCTGAAATCTTCGAGATATAAATAGTAAGCCATGTTTAATAGAGACATTATAGAATGTTCGTGCTGCTTTTTCATGGCCTTTATGTATTCCCAAGTTGCTATGTTTATCTTCTTTCTGGAGTTGTTCCTCATTCTGATGTAGCCATTTATTAGTTGTGTTCACATAAGAAGCTGCATGCTTTCAAGGCTTATAAAGTCATTGTTCCAATTGCTTAGAGTCAATTCACTTACAAGGCATCCATGTATTGGCTCGAAACTTTGCACTTGAAAAACTCATTACAGCAAGAAGGATATATGATCATCTTATTTCAAGATATCTTTCTAATCGAAATTGGCCTAACCACAAGTTTCACCCATAGAAAAATTATCTCTAATCGGTTGCACAAAATTTAATTTAAAAAAAAAAAACCGTTGAGCTATCATGTCCAAAATACTTCCCAAACCATAAAAATCATCTAGAGCAAATGTGCACAGTTTGCAACCATTGTTGCTCAGAATTTTTCTATTAATTGAGTAATTTATTTTTAAAAGGCCCTAACTCATGGTGTTTGAATTAGAGTTGTCAAAAATGTAAATGAGATTGGTTTAGGGTGTAGGCTAAAGGTAAATAGATATGTAAAAAGTGAAATGTTTAAAATACCCTTAAATTTAATAGTTTTTAATGGAATGAGGTGAAGTGAGACCAAAAGCGATGAAAATGTCAGTTTTATGAGGCAAAATAAGACAAAATCAATTTCAAGAGATAAATGAAGACTAAATAGCAGTTTCAAGGACATTTCAATTAATAAGCCAAAATTAGACCAATTTAATAGAATTGTGTGTGTGTGTGTGTGCGCGCCCTTTATGCAAAGTGATCTCCATTTTTTTCAAAAAAAATGGGGATTAGGTGTGGAGCTCACTCCATATCGAACTTCAACGATCCGAACCGTCTATTTTTTAAGTCTCGATTCACAGATCATTCTTGCAAAAATTTAATTCAATCCGAAACTGTAACATCCCACATCGCTAGGGGGAGTGATCCTTAAATGTATATTCCCATCCCTACCTAGCACGAGGCCTTTTGGGAGTTCACTAGCTTCGAGTTCCGTAGGAACTCCGAAGTTAAGCGAGAAAGGGGCTACAACAATCCCATGATGGGTGACCCACTGGAAAGTTGCTTGTGAGTTCCCAAAAACAAAACCGTGAGGGAATGGTAAGCCTAAAGCGGACAATATTGTGCTACGGTGATAGAGCGGGCCCGAGAAGTGATCAGTCCCAGGACAGGATGTGACAATTAACCTCGTAAGTTCCTAAAAACAAAACCGTGAGGGAATGGTAAGCCCAAAGCGGACAATATCGTGCTACGGTGATGGAGCGGGCCTAAGAAGTGATCCGTCTCGGGCTGGGATGTGACAATAAATTGGCGGATCACTTCCCGAGCCGAGACGTGACAATAAAATTTTCATAACTATTGTTTTTTAATTTTTTAAAAACAAATCACTTTCATAATAAAATAAAAAAAAAATGAAATGTGCACATAGTGTGTGTGGAAATCTGCTAGTATATACTATGATAGATTACCCCATGAACCTTTATAATCAGCCAATGTCTCCCACAAATTTTAATTTTAGCCAATGGTCATTTTGAACTTTACAATTGGCCAATTTCTCATTTGAACTTTAATTTTATGAATAAAACTAATAAAAAAAAATATGAAGTGAACTAGCAAGGGTAAAAGAAAAAAAAATGTTGTGCACATCAGGAATAAAATTAACTTTTTACCCTTAAACAATTGTCATGTGCCTTGCACATGACTAAGATGGATGGAAAGTTAGTGATCGACTAAAATTAAAGTTTAGTGAGAAAATTAACATTCCTTATAAGTTGGGAAGGAAATCGACAAATATCTTTATATAGTAATAAAAATGGATTTAAGGGGTAAAACGGGCATTTCAAGTCAAGTAAAATAAAAAATATTAATTAAAGTGACATTACATCATCAAATCTATCCAAAACAAAATCCTTGTGCTCGTGTCGGATGGCAAAGAAACCATTTTTATACGCGCACAGATTCTGACTGCTCATATCGAGAAAAGCCCACTGGGAACAACCACACCAACGTTTATCCGAACCAAATGGCAGTGGTAGCCCGTTTCTCCTGCTGCTTCTTCACCCACCCCAAGAACTCCGGCCGATCTCCGCCGTCCGATCAAATCCCCCTCAACTCCAATCTTTCCGGTGAGTGCTTCCGCGTGCACCCTTTGTTTCTGCTCACTCCTTAGCTTCTTGCTCGAAATGCCTTCAAATTCTAATGTGAATGTGAATTTCTAGTGCAATTTAGTGACATTGAGTTTTCAACTTGGGAAATTTTACTTCTTGTTTGGCTATTGAGAAAGTTGAACGAAAAGAACAGAAAAAATTGAAAATTTTTCATTTTGGTTTTCCCTAAATTGAAATAAATGACTTAAAGCTTGCATGATCGAAGGTATGAGTGGAATGTGAGGAGACAAAGCTTATGGATTTTGGGATTTTTCTTGCATTACCGTAGCGAAATATTGGAATATGTAAATAATCCAAAAAGTTGTTTTTGTTAATTTTCTTGGTTAGTAGTTAGTACATTATTTGTTGCAATGATTGGTTGGGTGTTACTTAATTGAAACTGATCTGGATATTGACCTGAAGTGTTTTTCATTGTTAGAACCCGGAAAGTTAGCTTCTCTTCCGTTTAAAGTCGAAAAGCTTGTTTCATCGTTTGGAAATAAATTAGATGGAGTGTGTGAGATCCACCATATGTTGCCAAACTCAAAATGTCAGGTATGATGGTGAGTTCCTGCACCAGATGTTTCTGATTTGGTTGTGCGTTCAATTTTGGTTGATTCGGGTTTTTCATATTCGTTCGCACCTTACCTACTTTGTAACTTGTGTAAAGGCATTCTATAGATATAATAATGTGAGAGATGACAACACTAATCGTATTCTGTTGGATTGGTTTTGTCAAAAACATGGTGAGCATATGCATTGTTGTGCTTCGTTCAAGTAATATCTTTGTAATCCCCCTGTAGGTTGATTTTCATAGATTGATAAATGCATTATCAGATGTAATGGATTGGGATATACAGTGTTTTTGGATTTGGCTAGTTTCGTGAATATGCATGTGTCCAAATTACTATTTTTGCGTTGTTACTTTCTATCCATTATGATGTGATGATCTGTATTCAAAAATGCTTTTTTGTGACTCTCATTTGGAAATTATTACTTCTACAGGGAGACAGAAGGTTGAGATTCCCAGCAATGGGACTTCTCCTCGGCAATGCCTTAATGTTGACAACGCCATTGAAAGCTTTGGCAGAAACATGTGAGGCTGACAACTCTGGTTTCAGCATGCCTGTACTGCTCTTTGTTGCCCTTGTTGGGGCTACCGTTGGTGGTAAGATTTTACGGGGTTATTAATTACCATTAATTCTGGCGTTGATTTATGTGCTTTGCTTTTGAAACTGTTTTAAGCAGTTCTGTTGATTGTATATGTTTTAACTATATCTTCATATGATACCCATATTGAGCAGTTTGTTAATAGTTTAGTGCTTCTATGATAGGCTTGGTTGCTCGGCAAAGGAAAGGAGAATTACAGCGAGTGAATGAACAGTTGCGTCAAATCAATCAATCTCTAAGAAGGCAAGCTAAGATTGAGTCATATGCTCCGAGTTTGAGTTATTCGCCAATTGGTGCAAAAGTACTACCAGAGAGTGAGGTGATAGTTGATCCAAGGAAGCACGATTTGATTTCTCGACTGAAATCTGGGAAGAATTTTTTGAGAAACCAAGAAACAGAAAAAGCACTCAACGAGTTTAAGACTGCGCTTGAGCTTGCCCAAAGTGTGAAGGACCCAATTGAGGAAAAGAAGGCTGCAAGAGGTTTAGGTTTGTCTCTGCTCCCCTTTGTTCATTACTGTCCTCTTTTTACTTGTCATACTAGTTTGCTAAGACAAGAACAAGAGCACATCTTATGCAGCTGCTACTTCTGTCTTTTGCCTCCCTGTTAGATTCGTCTCTGTGAGCCTTATTTATTAGCTTCAGTATCGATGACGTTCAACAGTTTGCAAGTGTGTTTGTCTAATTATGTTGGCATCTGTGTTGGAAATCCATTCTGATTTTGTGCCCTTTAATTGCCATTTGCATCTATCAGGAGCCTCACTGCAAAGATTGGGCAAGTACCGAGATGCCATTAAATACCACTCTTTGGTTCTGGACATCTCCAAGCGAGAAGGAGAAGACTCAGGAAACACAGAAGCTTACGGTGCAATTGCTGATTGTTATACTGAGCTTGGTGATCTTGAGCGTGCAGGGAAGTTCTACTGACAATTATATTGCGAGGTTGGAGTCAGACTGAATTAGCTTCATAACCCAAAAGCCTCTCTCTATTAGTTAGAGTTAATATGGAACATCGCGCAAGGGTGCAAAAGACTTGTCAACAGCACCAGCCTGCAGATCCCGGATTGTTTTGTTTTTGTTTCGTGTTAGAAGTAGTTCGATGCATAATGCCTTTGGTTTATCTGCCTACTGTCGAACTCCGCCTGTCACTGTAGTTTGTAGAAAGTCATGAGTTTTGTATGTCACAGGATATATGTTCGATTTGCAATTTGTCCAAGAACATGAACTTTCGCACCAGGTGATCGATGAACCCATTAGCGATATTGCATCATAGCCTTTGGCTAAGAAACAACCGAAGAAGGGAGGTCGGTTTTACTGTTATAATCAGCGGTAGGCTTAAAACGATAAAGGAAGAGACTGAAAACAGGTGTGGAAAAGCCAACTTCCTCTGATAAATAACCAATCATCATAACAGTCTGAAAACAGGAGATCATACGTGTTACATATCCACACAGATAGCAAGCACGTAAGGCAGGGTAACAACCTCACCGTCGCCGCTTAAGGGGGAGAATAATAAAAAAGATTCCTAATGGGGATTATAACTCAGATAACACCAGCATAATGCAGGAAACAGATCATTTAATGTATTATTACTGGTAGTACATGAGCTGCTGGGCAGCAGCAACATTCTGGAATCCACCGTCGTATATAGCTTGGCTTGCTCCAGCAGTGCCCATTCCCATTGCTGCCTGCTTAAGGGGATGCTGTCCCTGAGGGTGCATAAGGGCATGGACACCAGCCATCTTGCTCATTGCCAGTTGCCGTTCATAGGCCAAAATGTCGGTTGCAGAGAGGCCCTGCAAAGGTGGTGCCGCTACTGGCGGTGGGAGTGGGTTTGAAACTGTTCCTGGTGGAGTAGGCTTGCTACCCCATGAGCACTACATAATAAACAATCAACAGTCAATGCACACATAGAAAAAATAAAAACGTTTACAGTAGATGTACGTATATGGATCTCTACACGATGTCCCAGTAAGATCAGCCGATCCAGTCCACTACCTTTTGTGTGCCGATAATACTTGAATTTATAACCTCTCTAAACTAAGCATAGAAGCACACCTTTATTTGTCTACCACACAAGATGGACTGAGTATTTCCCATTTGAATTGCCAGGGTTGCCTCGGCGTGTGTATTGAATCTCACAAAACCAAAGCCCTTGTCACGCTGCAGCCGAACTTCCTCAATCACTCCAACACCAAGAGCATGAAAATGCCGATGCAGATCGAGCTGACTGACCTGTAGGAATAAGGCCAAATTAATGATACTGGAATTTCTATGATCCACAAGAACTGAAGATATTCATTTTGTTCTCCACATAATTTCCTCTTTCGAGAACTTCAAAACCACAAACTCAAGCTTAAGAAGCAGTCATGGTAGAAAATTCAAACTCAGTTCTGTCACACAAAAAAAACTTGTATATCAATTCATATCCATGGCATAGCAGAAATTAATGTGTGACAGCACATGTTTGCGTGGTGCACAAGAGAGAGATGAGAAAACTTCTTGCCTCTGGAGCAAGATTGCCCACATAAACAGTAGTATACTGAGGGTTGTTCTCCGGAGCCTCACTGTTTGTCGTGTCCTTTCCATCTTCTGCAAAATTAAGACAGAATATGAGTCTGTCTTAGGCTGAGGACTATGTGAAAAGAACAACATGTATATGAAATTACTACAAACCAAATTATTTTTCCCTCATTTTCCAGTCAAACTGGACATTACTTCTTTTGTAAGTTAGCAAAGGAAAAAAAGTTTGATCACAGTGAGCTCACCTGATGAGCCATTTGTTAGTTCCACCACACTTTTAGCATCTGAACTCTGCTTGTCTTCATTGGCACCAGCACCTTTCATTGCCCAGTTGCAACGTATCTGTCTGCTGCCAAGCCACTTACCTGCATATCACAGACAAAAATATAGTTCAGAATATGGTGAGAAGGAATACAGGTGAATTTTTTCAACCCTCAATACTTATCCCGCATGCATTTTTTTCAACAAACTTGTCAAAATAGTTTTTAAATAGGAAGAACATCATCCTTACCAGTTAAGTCATTGATAGCATTTTGAGCATCCTGAAAAGGTAAATGAGAGTATGATGAGATTCAATTTAGTAACAACTTGACAGACTTATTAAGGCAGAGGCTGGGCTCTAAACTATTGACTCTTTAAAAGAAAATTTGAAATTTGACATCGCTATATCAAGCCGTTACCTAAGTTCTCTCACCCTAATCCCTTGCATTCAGTTACCAGTCCATCAGAAACTACCATTCAGACTCACAATAGATTATTAATAAAAATGAATTCACCATGCATTCCGAAAGATAACGGAAGTAAAAAGTTACATAAAAAATACTACCTGTTGGTTTCGGAATGAGACGAACCCAAAGCCTCTTGAACGCCCCGTCTTTTGATCCCACATAACCCTTGCATCTCTAAAACCAACAAAAGAATCAAATTAGGCATCTGAAAAACGAATAATGGATTCCAATGTAAGCTTAACAAATGTTAACAGATGAACCTAAAACTTCCAAGTCTTAACTATTGGTCATCACATGTTTTATTAAAAAAATGATAAAATTAAGAAAACCTGTGCCTGAGAAGACACTTACGAACAACTGTTATAAACAGAGAAGCATGCAAATAATGTAGCATCAGTAACCTCAGGGCTCAGATCACCAACAAAAATGTTAAAATGACCTGCACATCAGAAAGACAGTATATAACTAACCTAGAAGATAAATGCCAAAGCATCATAAAATCGGTTCAAAGAAAGAAAAACGAAAACCAACCTGATGTATCCTCCCTCTGACCACTAGCATAAGCCCAATTTACTTTGATAGGCTGCCCAAACCTGAAGATCACATATCAAAGGTTTTAGAGAAAGTACAAATAAAAGCAACCAAAATAACAAGGAGCATAAGTCATATTTGTACTTACAGATGCCTGCCATTTAGAGACACTATCGCAAGAGCAGCTGATCTACGATCAAAATAGTGAATGAACCCGTAGGATGACTGCAGAAGGCAGAGAAAACAGAAATTATCAATTATATCATCACCATATGGTTAAATTAAGTTAGGCTCATAGTAAACTAATCAAGTCCAGAAATTTTCATAGGATGAGAGGATTGTTGAACAGCGATCAGATAAAAAAAAGGCGAGGACGAGCATGTGCACCTTTGCAAACTTACCTTTTCCTTTCTTATAAGTTTGCAATTTTCAACAGCACCAGTACTTGCAAAAACCTCTTGAAGAAGTGGTTCTGTCACCTGGGTATGGATGTTCCCAACATACCTGAAAATTTTCAAAGTAGACAAAACTTTAAAACCAGAAGACAAAAAAGAAATTAAATTAAACCCTAAGTAATCACTCTGAACCAGGAAAAAAAAAAAGAAAAAGAAAAAAGAAGACAATTTTAGTTGCACATGGTTAACTTTGTCTGGATTTTTTGGACAGAAAGCATAGCAAGTGAAAGAGTAATTTTGTAATAAGGATGGGTAATTTCAGATACTTGAAAATTACTTTAGGAAGATATAGCATGGCTAAGTGAAAAGCAACCATGGAAAAAATATACCTATCATAAAGCTATTCAATGAAGACAATCAATATCGAGTCATCGACTAAGGGTACAAAATGCAGAGAAACATAATAGTTACATAAGCATAGAGGTGAAACAAACAAAAACTTACAACGGAAAGAAGAAAAAAAAAAAAAGTCTAGACAAACACTCACACACTGCGGCAAGTACTTGGATCAAAACCAGGAGGCAGATTTCCACTTGGGATTGGCTCTATCTGCAAAATAAAAATGTGAAAAAGAAAAGAAAATAAAGCAACCTAAAAAGCCAGAAGCAAAAAATAAAATAAAAACGTAAACCAAACTAAAATCCCTTAGTTATCAACAAGATGAGAACCTAACAACAGAATTCACTTAAGTACTTTCACCGGAACCCAACAACGACAAACTAAAATACTAGTGGTCCGTAGCGGAAATAAATGATTATGCAAGACAAAAACATGGTTGGCAGGGAACTAAAAAGAACCTAAAGCGCAACTCCTGTGAACTTTATCAAAATTCTAAGATAGGGCCAAATGGTTATTTGGTTTACTTGTATATTGAAAACTATTATCAGCAACTTACTGGAGGCTTCAAAATCACCACCAACCAAGACACCAATGCACGAAAAAAATAATTTGAAAAACCACACTGTATTAAAACGCTAACAGAGTCTCCTATTTCTATTTTCCATTCAGTACGACATAGGATAACAAAACATCCCAAGATGCCAACAATTCTTCCCCATTTCAGAAATCCGAAAAACGAAAACGAAAAACTATTTAACGTTATTCAACACCAATCACAAAGCCTCCCAAAATGTAACACCCAAGCTTTTTTTCTCCAGCGAGAAGCAATCAAAAAACAAAACTATTAAATTTAAAACTTTCCCACGGCAGAAATTTCCCAAAAATCCCATCTTGCGGAATCGGGTAATTCAAAGGAAGAGTAACTCAACTAACCCTACCTTCCGTACTGCAATCACATACAATGACAATTGGAGCTGGAAATGAAAACCAAAATCGAAATGGAAATAGAACCCGAAAACAGAATCGATGTCAGAGGACGAGAAATTAGAACAAGGTCGGACCTGAGGAGGAGCTAAGAGGCCAGGGTGGTAGAGAGGATGCTGCTGTAGAAGAGCCTGCTGCATCAGAGCTTGCTGCTGCTGCTGTTGCTGCTTCAGCCTCTGGTGCTGCATTTCCTCGCTGATTTTCCGATAAAGTCGGGGTTTTGCCGAGAAATTTGAGGGTTAGGGTTCGAGCAAAGGGCCTCTATAGAAATAAAAGAGAGACGAGAGAGAGAGAGATGAGGGAGAGAGAGGACTCCTTGCAGAAGAGAGGAGGAAAAAAATAAGTAGGATCCTAATCTCTCTCCTCTTCTCTTTTCACCTATTTGAACGGTTACAGTCTAGTCACATCAATATTTTATATTAATTTTTTATAGAGACAATAAGACAAAAAGTAATATTCGAGAGGAGGGGAGGGAAGGAGATGAGAATAGGAGGGAAGAGAATCCTACTTCAAAAAATAAATTGGTGTTACTGTTTATCACACATAGTTGCGACATTGGTTTAACTCATCATTTTATTAGTCTCTCAGTTTCAAAATTGGTAACTTTGGTCCTGATATTCAATTAATGCCGCACATTAATGTCATCCTTTTGCCAATAATCCATCAAATTCTTTGT